AGGGGGTGAGCGGATAGATGGATGAATGAATGCTCTTCAGAGCAGTTTGCAAAAATGGCCAGAGAGCAGGCTGCGTAGCCACGTGGCTCTGCATTTAAATCCCCAATATGCTGCTTCCTGGGCGTGCGGCCCCGGCCGTTCTCCTAACAGCTCCGAGACTTGCTTATGCAAACAGGACTTTCCTTGTAGGACTCTTAAGTATGTTGGCGTCAGTGTGTATAGAAGACTTATCATGGTATTTGGTACCTAGTAGGTGCTCAATAAAAGGTAGCAACTGAAAGACCTTTTATTTTAGCTCACATGATAAGTTGTATGCCCAGAAAATTTTTTTCTTTAGCTTCTTGCCTGTTACTGATTTCTCTAATAGTATTTTTTTCCAGGTAAGGACCACAGCATAATCTGAGAAGGGAAAGTCTTAGGGTACAGTAACACATTGCTTCTCATTATTTTGTGATTGAAAAAAAGTTGGAGCATCCTATGTCTTTTACCTCACCAACCCACTTTCTGGTTTTATTAAAATATTCTAATTTTATATTGCCAAGGAGTGTTTTTTTTTTTTTAAGGAAGGAAGAAAGGCAATAATAATAATTACACAAAATCTTTAATTTGCTTGATTTTTATAAATTATCTTCCCTGTAATCCTGTCTTTTTCTTGGTTCTTTACAGAGCAAAAGACCTAGAAAGAAAATAGGAACACAGACTATTTCTTCTTTGTTTTATAATGCTTGATCATTATGTATTCCCATGAATTTTTGCTGCCTTCCTAGGTGATTTCTACTACATCACTCCCTGGATGCGACTCTTCAGTTTACCTTAAAAAAAACAAAGTGTGACATTTGCGTACTTCACAGAGTTGGGCATTTCAAGGCCATTACTCAGAATGTTTGTTTCCCTGACCACCATGCCTGCAATCTGCGAAAACTACCTTGTATATGTTGTTTGTTGGGCGGGCTTTGTGGATTAGTGACTTGGTTCAGGCATCCCTTAGCTCTCTCAGTGTTTCCTGAGCTTTCTGAGACCCGGGGCCACACCCGACTCGCCTCGTTTTAAGCACAGAGCCTAACGCTCAGAGAGTACCCGGAAGTATCTGAAAGGATGAATGAAAAAATAGACCAAACAAATAGAAGTCAGTTGTATTCAGGAAGTTGTTACAGGAGAGCTTCTTGGGGATTCCTGGGGGCACCTGACCTGCCTTCAGGTCAGGGTCCTGGGGTTTTAGGATCCAGCCCAGTGTCGGGCTCCCTACTCAGGGTGGGGGAGCCTGCTTCTCCCGCTCCCTCTCCCCTAACTTGTGCGTGCTCTCTCTCTCTCACTCTCTCTCAAATAAGTAAACAAATAAAAATTAAAAAGAAAGGCTTATTGGGATGTGTGTATATGGGGGTCTTGTCATTTGCTGCTGATGAGGGATTTTTCAAAAAGCATAAGAAACATTCACAAGAAACCAGCAATCCCTTTGGGTTGATAGAGCAGTACTTTCTGCTACAGAGAAAGGATTTGGGATTTGGGTGAGTCTAAAATATGATCTTTGGGTATTAAAAAATATTCTGTATTTTCTTGAGCCCTTTTAAGTGAGGAAGTGTAGGCATCCTCTTGTAGAAGACATGGGTTTCTATCACGTTTATGTAGGTGGAGAGAATCAGTGGAGGCCTTCCTGGTGGTACAGAAGTTGAAGGGCACCTGTAAACCTCTAGGTGGGAAAGACACCTTGAAGAAGAGGGGTGGGAAGTATGCTTTTAAAATGACACCGCAAGCCTTGAGCAGACATTTCTCCAAAGCCAATAACAAAGGGCCTGTCAGCGCGTGAGAAGATGCTCGGTGTCACTAGTCATTAGGAAAATGCGCCTCAAAACCAAAAAGAGATCCCACTCCACAACCCTTAGGAGGGCTCTTACAAAAAACAAACCTAAGAGACAGAAAATAACAGATGTTGACAAGGATCGGGGAAACTAGAACCCGTAGGCACTGTCGGTGGGAACAGGAGATGTAGCAACCGTGGAAAACGGCACAGTGATCCCCACAACAATTAAATGTACGTACCTAAGTGAGGACGCAAAGGGCCGAGAGCGCATCTCAGGACCGCTGTCTCCCCATGTTCGTGGCAGTGTCGTCCACGGCAGCTGAAAGGTCAGAGAAACCCAGGTGTCCCTCAGCAGGTCCGTAAACAGGATTTGGCCTGTATGGGCAGGACGTGTTCTCCAGCTTTAAAACAGACCTTCTGACACCCGTTACACCACGCGCGACCCTTGAAGACGTGAAACTGATGGAAACAAACCAGTCCCAAAAGGACAAAAGCTAGGACACTTTTTACATGAGGTTCCTAGAGTCCTCTCATTCATAGGCACAGAGCATGGCGGTATCCAAGCCTGGGGGAGGATGAGGGTGGGGGCAGGTCAGCGTTTCTTGGGGATGGAGTTTGGGTTGGGGAAAATGAGGGCAAGTTCTGGCTGCAGATGGAGAGCAGTGATGGTTGCCCAGCCGTGTGGGTGTACGCCATGCCACACGGGTGTACGCTAGCAATGGTCGAAAGGGCCCCTTTTATTATATATATATTACGGTGATAGACAGTGGGGAGAGGGGGAGAAATAGCCCTAAAATCCACTCCAGTTTCTTCCCATTTTAAGCCATGTTGTGTCCGGGTATGAGACGGCAAGGCTGCAGCGGGAGAAAGGATGTCTTTGAGATGAGTGTCTCCTTGCTCTGCTGCTACATTTTCTCATCAGATCTGCGCTGAGCTGGGTGTTCCTTATTGTCCCCGTGTCACAGTGGGGAAGTGGGCTGGGAGTGGAGGGAAGGCATGGCCAGGATCTCGGGGATCCAGAGGGCTGCCCTGAGCCTAGCCCCCACACCCGCTCCCCGCACCCGCTCTGTGCTGCTCCGCACGTCTCTAGAGTCTCTCGGGAGGGTTGCTGTCCTCCTTGGGGTGCCCCGTCGCTGATGGCAGGCCCGTAAAGGGTGTGTTCTTCATTTTAAAAAAGTCTGTAGCTGGGGCTGCTTCTCCACTGGGAGGAAGAAATAGGTTAATGAAAGCACAGAGCAAAGGCCAAACATCGTCTTGCCAGGAAGGTTTATGGGAATAGGCTCTTGAACCTGCAGCGGAAGGCAGGTAGCTCCTCCTGTCCTTCTGGAAGCTTGGCTTCCCTTTGCTCTTACCAGGTGATGGGATACTTAACGCCTTACCGGCAGCACGTGGCTTTGAAGCCTTGGCTGGCCATCGTCCGTGCTGCCCCTGTTTCTCCCGGCTCCGTGTGCTCTGACTTCCACGAGTGTCGTCCGTGCTCAGCTGACGGCCAGACACGCTACTTTCTCATGCCCTTTCCCACGGCTCGGCCGCGGCACTGGGCGTTCCCCTTGTCTTCCGGGAGGTCTGCCTGCCTTGGATTGCCATGACTCTGGCCTCTCGTCTCTTGCTGCTGGTGCTCCCTAATCCGCGGTCATGAAGGTCTACTTGTTTTCTTCTTACAGTTTATCAGGAAGCTTTTTACAGAAAGAACCAGATGGGGAATACTCAGTTTTGCCGGCCACAAATGGTCCATGTCATCTGTTTGTCATTGCTGTTGCTTTGCAACCTTTGCAAGCTCTAGAAAGTGTTTTCAGCCCCCTAAGACCGTCTATGGGCCACATTCGGCTCCCGGACAGACTTTCCTGATGCCTGTGTTGGGGGCTTGCTGTGGAAGGCAGCGTCACTCTGGCATGCAGTTGAGCTGGGTTCGAGATTTCTTGTTGCTCTAGCTACATGGGTGCACCACAGGCTCCAGAATTCCTCGGTGTCGTCTTGTATGGGGGAGTGGGGGAGCAAAGCAGGGACTGCGGAGTGCCAGGCATTTTCCCAGAACGGTCCTCCTCTATCCTCTGCCCTCCCTGCATGCCAGCACCACCCGTGGGCTCTTTCCACACCTTTGCTCCTTCCTCGCCGGTGCCCTCCCTGCTGTCCTCATCCCACACTGGGCGTCTGGGTCTTCCGTGCTGGGCTCCGTTGGCATCCCTGCCCCTCCCGCGCATAGCAGCCCAGTCCACCTAATATCTGGCTGGCACTGTGGATGAATGGGTTTTCCAGCCCGGCTCAGTGGTGGGAGACCGCCAACAGCGCTGGGGTAGGGTTCTGGCTCTCGACGAGCTTCTGCCCTTCGCCCCACTAGAACGGGTATTTATCCCTGCCTTTGTGCCCTTGGCACTGGCGGCCCCTCCTCCAGAAGCTTAGGGTTTTGCTTCAGAGGAGAAAGAAGGGTCTGCTTGGGGATGAGAGGGGAGTGTGGGGTTGGGGCTGGGGTTTTGGTTTCTTAATCTTCCTCTAGTGGCCGCTCGCCCGCTTGCTCTGTGCCTGTGCTACTGCGGGGCTCCCCTGTTCTCCCGCACCCTGGCCAGCCCTTCGTGTCTATGCCCAGGGAGGTCCACGGTGAAGAGCCTTTGGGGGTGGGAACTTGTTCTTGTCTGGGCTCCCAGGAGGCCTGAGCCATTAGTGGAGCCTTCACTCAGCCTCGAGCAGTTCATTACCCTTGAGCCAATTCCTTCCTGCCCGCCCGCGTGGTGGCTGGCTCTACGCTTGCTCACCAGGTGTCCCTGCCCTTCCCTTCTAGAAGGGCCTTGTACCTCCTTGGTGTTTTGGCTCTGTGGTTGCCCCATGACCTCATCTCTTGCTGGGTTCAAGGAAAGTTTCACAGGTTTGTAGCTTGTCGGCTTGACGGACTGTTGGCCTGGGAGCCGTCCTCTACCGCTCAGAGACAAGCGCCCCTCCCCCACCCCCCTCATCTGTATGTTTAAGGGACACTGATGGGAGGGTGTTTTTCTCCCTCAGATGCTCTATGAACCACAGAAGAATTGGGGAGCCCTTTCTGTTTGTGTGCCTGGGACATGGTAGCGCAGACACAGGGCGCCATCGGAAGGACGGCGCGGGCTAGCAGAGTTGCCCAGCGGGTTCTCTCCAGCCTTACTGAAGTGAAGCCTGCCTCCTGGGAGAACGCTGATCCGATTGCTAACGTGTCGTCTTTTTTCCATCATTTTAGACCCTGGAAGCTATCCTGAATTTCAAGTACTCTGGAGGGCCGGGCCACGTGGAAGGATATTATAGGAGCCTCTCCCTGGGGCTGCGCGTGGAGGCCGAGCCGTCTGTTTTCTTCACCCGCGTCAGCACTCTGCCGGCAACCAGGTAAGCGGAGCTCGCTCCATCCCCGCCTTTCCGTAGCCTCTGGCAGCGCTGCCTCTGGAATCCTGGCCTCTGCTGGTCTTGGTGTCGGCACTAGTCAAATCCAAACCATCGCGCCCGGTTGCTTAGCCTTCCTGGCAGTTGGGTTCTGCATGAGGAAAGCAGGCATCATACAGAAGTGCGTGTGAGCGGATGGGCTCTCCACCTTCTCAGATGGCCTCACGGTGACGGTAACGTTGCAACGTGCTACCTGTGGTCATCGTCGTGCGGGGCACGTCCCCACGCATTGCCCTGAGCCTGGTCCTAGCTTCGTTCCGGTTCAGTCTCCTGTTGGTAGGGGGTTCGGCAGCTAGCCCCATGTTCCAGGCACTCCTGGGGGAGTCCTATGTCTTTTTCTGTGTCACTGCTGGCATCCCAGGAAAACTGTGCCCCTCCAGGCTGTCCAGCATCTTGGCATCTTCGTTCGTGGAGCTCCCCGCCATCTGGAGCACTGGCCTCTTTCTGCCCAGGGAGTCTTTTTTACACCGAAGTTTTCTCTCCTAGTTACTTCTCTAGGCCTAGTCTTCCTTCACGGAAGAGAAATCAGACAGCGTGTATACTTCAAACCCCGAAGTGGCCAGAGGTCCTAGAGGCGTTTTTCTGGAAGGTGGGAAAAGGCCACTTTCCCGTCTCCAGCTTCAACTTAGGCTGAGCTGGGAGTGGTGGGGTCCGAACACAGTGGATGGTGTTCCTGCCGCTCCGATGCTCGCCCCCACGGCCAGCGGCCTGTGGACAGCAGGTGCTGGTTAGCACGGGGAACTCGCCTGTCTTCGTGTCCAGGGGTGCCTTTCCTACGGGCGCAGGACGCAGTGGGATAGTGCTGTTTATTCCTAGCAGAGTTGAGGCGGCAGCGGTGACCAGCCCCTCTGGTCTCCAGCTGGGGAAAGAGCATCACTGGCGGCAGCCCCCTCCTCTCCAGTGGTTCCTGTCCTCCCCAGGGTAAGACAGACGGGTGTCGCTGCCCCTGTTAATGTTGCTAGAAAACTCCCTTTAAAGTGATACAGCCCCAAATAAGAAGTATAGTTTTAGTTTATAGGAAAGACTGTTTTTCTTCCCAGCCATTGGAGAGCGGCTTCACGAGAATTAATGGCTTAGCTCGGGCTTTTTAGCATCACATTTCATCATCTGTCACTTTCTCAGTCCGTGGAGTAATAGCCTTTCTTGCCGAGGCTCGCCTCTGTTTTGAATTCGTTGTATAAAGCATCAAAGCGCTTGGCCCCCGGGGAGCCGTGGCCAGGACCGCTGCCAGACTCCGTTCCTGCTCCCGTGTCTCAGGCCCTTCCTGCGCGTTAGGGCCGCCCTGTGATGTACCTGCCACGTTTCCCTCTCATCCCCGCACCGCCTGCTGCCACTGCTCATATAAATAGTTCTTGGAAGCAGCACAGGTTGTCCCCGAGTTGGGTTTGTTCCCCACTCTGGATGTCCAGCTTGCACGTCATGGCCCCTGTTGCTCTAAGTGACAATTTAAGACGAGAACAATGGCCCCACGTGGAGTGGAGCGAACACACACTTGCAAGAGCCGGTGGTTAGCACAGGGCTGCTTGGCTCCCGAATCCGCACCCGCTGAGCCGACCCTTTCCTGTTGGCTTGCGTGGTCGTCTTCCTGCTCTTGGGATGGAGACTGGATTTCTCCTAATCCTTCCTTTCCATCCCTGCCAAGCCTAGTCCTCCCCAGATCCTGTGCGCTGAGCCTCTGAAATGTCTCCGGATCGCCCCCTGCCTTCCACTGCACATCTTTCTAAAACCCCTACTCTGGTTTTGCTCCCACATCAACCTGCAATTACAGATGTTTCCACCTCACTGTCTGGCTTAAAGACTTGCCCAGTGCTTAGGAGATCAAGTTTGAGGTCACTACTGTGATATTGAGGGTACTGAAAAATTTGACCCAGACCTTCCTCTTGAGCCCCAGTTCTGTTTATCCCCCAGTTCTCCACACAGCAAGTGGAGACTCTCCTGGGGTATGTCAGGACAGTTTCCTGCAATGTGACTTTGCATACATCTTTTACTAAAACTCTTCTTAAACTATCATTCTTTTACTTAACCTTCTGGAAAATGTTTGTTGGCTGTTGATGATCTATGTCATCATTTTTTGTTAAATTTTCCTGAATATGACTATATAGAGTGGGTTGGTCCTTCTCTGGGTCTCTGTACTTCTAATAAAGTACTTACCAGGCTGTGCACCTTTAAACCAGCACCTTCAGTGTCTCATTTATTCTTACTACCAATACCTCCAATGTTTGACTTGCTGTATAAAGGACTCAGCAGGGTAAGAGATGGATAGAGCTTAGCCCCTGTGTTTCATCAGCCTGATAAAAGCTCATCAGGCAGGAGTAATACCAAATGGAAACACGGGTCTATATTAAGGAACGTTGAATCCCAGAAATAGAAATAGCAAGTGAATAAATATCAAAGATTCTTCCCTTTCCTTAATTTCTTTAAGAGACTGTTGACTATTTAAAGAAAAAATAAGAGCATTTAATTTTGTAGTGCATATCATATATAGAAGTAAAACACTCAATAGGAAATAGCATAGAGAAATGGAGGGGAAATGGAGTAGGGGAGAAATGGTAGTTCTTACATGCTATGCATTACCACATTCTAGCTTCAACTGTATCATAAGTTAAAGGCACGTAGTGCACACCCTTCAGCAACCACATAAAGTGTGAATGGTCAGCCAGAAGACGGAAGATGGGTCACTAAAAAATGCTTAATCAGAAAACCAGGGAAGAGGTGGCAAGAAAGGAGTAAAGAACTAGGAACGTACAAATAGGAAACAGATCGCAATGTGGTTGACTTAAATCCAATGTACCAAGAATTATATTAAATGTAAATGGACTGAAGACTGTATTTAAAAGTGAAAGTTGTCAGATTATATTAAAAAAAGGACTAGAGTCAATTACATGTTTCCTACCAGAAACTCACAATTACGTACAGTTGAAAAGCACAAAGGTGGGGCAGAAGATATGCCACGCAAACAGTAATCATGAGAAAGTTGGCGTGGGCATATGAATATCAAACAAGTAGATTTTGAAGAGAAAAAGGGATAGGGTAATGTATATTGATAGAAGGATCAAGTCATCACGAGTACGTAAGCCTAAATGCAAATGTACTTATAACTTCAAAATAAAACTGACATCTCGGGCACCTGGGTGGCTCAGTGGGTTGGGGCCTCTGCCTTCGGCTCAGGACATGGTCCCAGGGTCCTGGGATCAAGCCCCACATCGGGGTCTCTGCTTGGCGGGGAGCCTGCTTCCCCCCGCCCTCCGCCTGCCTCTCTGCCTACTTGTGATCTCCGTCTGTCAAATAAATAAATAAAATCTTAAAAAAATGAAAAAAAACCCTGACATCTCAGGGAGAAATGGAAAATGCCACAATTACAGCTGAATATTTTGACCCCTGTATCTCCGTATTTGATAGAACAAGCAGACAGGAAACTAGCACAAATATAGGAAGCATGCACAGTTCTGGTAAATGATTCCAGCTAACCGGTATTTATAGGATGCTGAATGCTTATGTTAGAACAGTTGAATGGTTCAAAACATAATACAGAGTAGTTATCATTGAAATAGAAAATGAAAAAAAAAAAGTAAAGTCAATGCAACCAAAAAGTGATTCTTTGGGAAGATTAATAAAATTAATAAACCATAGGACAATCAGAATTAAAAAAGAAAGCACTATTGCTAATACTGTGGATGAATCCTATAGATCCTGTACACATTTAAAGAATAATAAAAAGTATTTTATGATAAATCATATTCCAATAAAATTTACCAATGGAAAATGTGTTGAATGACAAAAATTACTAAAGTTGACATGAGATGAAATAGAGTCCCTGAGGTAGTCACATATCATTTAGAGTTTAAAGTCTTAATTGAAGTTAACTTGAGGCTCAGGTGATTTCACTATGAAATACATCAAGCTTTTAAGAAATAAGTAATACCACTTCTACAAAAATCCTTCCAGAAGTAGGAAGGGAGGGAATACTTCCAGTTCTCATTTTATGATGCTCTCTTCACCCCGATGCCAACCAAATCCAGGGAGAGACATTGTGAGAAAGTCAGTGCTATGACCGGTGTGCGTAACTGAGAAACCCAGAACCAGAGGCTAGTAAACCAGCTCCAGCAGTAGAAGAGAGAAGGCAGTGTGGACAATTCAGGTTTCATCCAGCAACACAAGGTCCTTTGACCATGGAAAAATCAGTGCATGATGTTACTCTACCAGCAGAATAAGGGCCAGAAATAAGATGTCAGCTGATGGGAAAAGAACCCTCTGACAAAATTCAACACTTCTGAGAGAAACTGTCTCTAAACAAGGCTTGGAGGACTTCTGCAACCTAGGCTAGGGTGTCTACAAACCCATAAATTACATAGTTGATATTGTGCTTAATTATGAAGGTTGCCACTTTTCCTCTAGGCTCAGCATCAGTCAAGGTGAGTGTGTTTGCTCTTGCCAGCATAGTCATTACTTTTCTGCCAGTTCTAGCTAATCAGAGCAACGAGATGAGAAAAGAATGAATGCTGTAAACATTGGAAATGATGAATAGTTATTATTTGTCTGCGTGATACATGTGATCATTTACATAAAGAGCTACCAGGAGATCTACCATGCCAAAGAGATTACCAGAACTAATAAGTCAGGTTAGTCAGATTGTAGGATGAAGCCATGTTATATTCAGAAATCAATTATAGATTTATATATTATTAATTTGAACATGAAATTTTGAAAATATTTATATTGCAGTAGCATATAACATGTAAGGCTAAACCTTTGTACATCATTATGATCTCTACCCTGAAAATGACAAAGCACAGGTCAGGGAAATTAGCACTTAAAAAATTAGAGAGGTTTACCATGCTTGTTGATTGGAAGAATCAATTTTTGCTAAGATACCAGTTTTCCCAAATTGATTATAAATTCAGTGCAATTCCAATCAAAATCCCAGCAGACTTTTTTTTTTTTTAAGA